AATAATTATATATATAATTTTATATATATGTATTCCCATATATTCCATATCATTATATTTCATTGCCAGATATGGTGAATCTTTAGGTCACAGTTCTCATTGTTTGCTCGTGCCCTTGGGCTGTCTCGCAGTTCTGGAGTGTTGTTCACCAGCGAGATCACTGTAGGCCTTCGAAGACGGAGCGACAGAACGATCGGGGGCTTGCCCTGGGATCCACTAAGTCACTGGATTGGTTTAAGGGAAAATCTACAGGAAACCATGGTTTTTACCATCAAATATAGGGCTTTCCTGTAAATTTTCCCATCATCCAATTCTATGACTAAGGTGAATGTGCAAAATCAAGCATGTGCAGATGATGTTCCAATTGTTTTTCTGGTTGGTGGTGCAATAACCATCTTGAAAAATGATGGAGTTCGTCAATGGGGAAGGATGACATACCCTATATTATGGAAAATAAAACATGTTTGAAACCACCAACCAGGTCTAATATGTCCCAGTTTTTATGACAAGTTATACCCTCTGGTCATTTCTTGCATCGCTATTGAAAATGGTGATTTATGGTTGATTTACCTATTTGATAGTGGTTTTAACATAGCTATGTTAGTTCACCTGGCCTTACTCCCATTATAGAAGCTACTGTACCATACAAGGCCGTATTTTCGGGGGAGATAGGTATCTCCAATTTAGGAACCTGAAAGAGCTATTATAAGAATTGGGAGATTCGAACAGATTATGAAAACAAATTAAAAGAAAACTTAATCAAGTTATATATATATAACAACTTATGACAAGCTATATTCAAAGTTGTCATCCCCCAATTTTTGGAACTTCCAAAAGATCCACCCCTCCCCAACTCCGCCTCTCTGAGGGCGAGGGATAGACCTGGGATGCGGTTTATTGCATGGAAAAACCCAATCAAAAATGGATAAAATTGATGATTTGGAGGTACCCCCATGACTTAGGAAACCCCCATATGTATCTATGATTATCTATGCATCATTTCAGGATATTTCGTTGGATAAAATGGTGTCAACTATTCTGTCATCCCAGTCTTTCACCAACATTTCATTGGACATTTTGATGGTTGCGACTAACAATTCATTCCGAAACTGCGGTAGAGATTAAGATTGCAATTCCATTTTTCATAGGTAAATTTGTCATAGGTAAACCACCATGTTTCATGGATAAACTTGATAAACCATCATTTTTCATAAGTAAACCACAATTGTTCACAGTTAAACCACCATTCTTTACAGGTAAATCACCATTGTTCACAGGTGAAGCACCATTCTTTACAGGTAAACCACCATTTTCCTGGTGTTTTAAACCACCATTTTTTCACAACTAAACTCTGGTCGCGCCTCCGTCGCCTCCGTCTTCACCTTGCAATCCGAATCAAAGAGCCAGCCGATGGGCGCACGCAGCTCCCTGGATGCGAGGTTTCACCCTTTGGCCCCTTGGGTCATGGATTTTCGGATCATGGTCAGAAAGGTTCGCAACGCCGGCAACGCCCCATCTGCCCCGAAAAAACCGTCAGGATGCTGGTGTCGTGGGATGCCGTTTTTGGTGGTGTTTCATGGTGTTTCCCAATAAAAATCCCAAAAAAGTGTCCTGAAGATTCACTGAAGATCTCTCTTAAAACCACTGTTCTGATCCACGTGTTTTTGCGGACTCCCAAAAGAGTCCTGAAATTTCTTGTCGTGATCCCAGAACCCCATCCCGGAGGGAAACACGTTTCTACCTTGTTGGGTGCTGCTATGTGTCCTCTAATGGCTAAGGTCCGGGCTGAAGTGTTGATGAATCAGTTGCCTAATTCCCCCTGGCTTGTAGCTTGTTCCACACATTTCACGGGTTATGGGTTCAGCTTCTCCATCTTGTAGGTATGAAATTCATGAAGAAATTCGAGTGCTTTCTTGGTGTTTTATCACCGTATTTTCCTATGGGTTTCCCGTGGTTTCCCATCGTTTTCCTTGGCGTTTTCTTCATGTAGACATCTCCCTTTGTGGAGTTAGTGCCGACATTTTTTCCCATCTAGATTCCCGATGTTGGAAAAAATTAGGGATGTATTTATAAAATTTTATAAATAGATTATTTTGTGATTTATATCTACATCACAATTTAATAAAACACATGGAATAAAGAAATGTGGGATTTGGATTTACAATCCTAGGATCTCATCATAGCAATCTATGACACCAAAAAGAAACACCTGATGTTGGTTGATGAAGTTTAACAGGGTTGCTCCAAACACCGCAGGTACAAGGGGGGTAAATTGGGTAAATATAGAGGCAACATGACTAATAGACCCCCTTGTGGCTATCATTTGTCTGTAATTGGATTGGAGCAACCCTGTTTAAGTCGCCAGGTGATCTTTGTCTCAAAATAGGATCCCCTATTTTTTTCATGATCGAGAACATGTTCCTGAATTATAAATGACGATCATTTGGAGAACTCTCCGCTTGTTGGACGAACTCAGTGCGATGTTGATGCATAGTCAATCTCGAATGCCATGCATTTGTTTAGCCGATATACAGAATATGATATATATATATATGTACATGTGTATATATATACAGCCATTTAATGGCAAGAGATCACACCACATTCAACCACCCATTTACCCTGAAGCTTTCCAAAGCTTAACAAAAAAAACACCGGAGACGTTGCCGACGGGGCACATGACTTGCTCCGATCTTACCACGAGATTATTCAGGGCAAAGCCCACCACGATGGCCTGGTTTTGTAGGCGCGAATTCTCTAACTTTGGAACGGGGGACTTGAAGAATGGTTATCAGATAGTGGATTATGGCTATTTAATGGTTATTAACCAACAATAGTGAACCTGTTAGATAACTATTGTTATTCAATGGTTATCTACTATTGCTGGTTGGTGGTATACTTACCCCTCTGAAAAATATGAGTTCGTCAATGGGAAGGATGACAACCCATATATGAAATGGAAAAACATGTTCCAAACCACCAACCAGATTGTTATTTATGGCTATTAACCAACAATAGTGGATAACCAACAATAGTGGATCCAATACTTGTAACAGATCGCCAATAGCTAACAATGGACAATGGCTATTTAATGGTTACTGCAACAATTGGCTATTTAATGGTTAACAATTGGCTATTTAATGGTTAACAATGGCTATTTAAAGATATGGCCAATGGCTATTTAATGGTTAACAATGGATCGTCAATAGTGTTTGTTTCATGGTTATCTATTGTTGTTTATGGCAGTTCATGGTTTGCAATGGTTATCTTCATTATGGGAAAATAATCTGGAAATCCTAGCATCTCAACATATCATGGAAATAGGGAAATCCACATGATATCCCCACGATGTTGGCGAAATCACCAAAAAAATGTCTGAAAGGGTGATGTGTCAAAAAAAAAACATCAATAGAACAGTACCCTCTGGTAAACTAACAGTTTGCGAACTTGAAAATGGCCCAGTCGACATAGTTGATTTACCCATGAACAATTGTGATTTTCCATATAGTTTTATGTCAACGTTTTCAACGTTTGCCAGGCCGGGTAATAGAACACATTGCAACAACGAGGTTGCTGTGACAAACGATAAGCTTTGAGCCGGGCACCCCCGGGCACCCCCACACTACGCCGCAAGGGGCGATCGTCCCTGCCGCAGGCCAAACGCTCATCCAACGTGAGGTTCACCTGGGGCAGTCAGGATTTCGGGGTACCCCGGGGTACCCCGAAATCCGCCACCGTGATTTTCCAGACTTTCCATAGATCCATGGCATTTTGAGGTACCCCCATTTGTAGAATCCCATATATATATATATTGTATAACTAACGTATACTCTATGTACCAGTATCGGTGTATAATAATGTATACTATATATACATAATACAGAGAGAGAGAGAGACATATACCCTCTGTTTATTTACCGCTAAATGGTCCAGATAAGATGAACATTGAGGCTGCATGGTGATGTTCAGCGACCGTGTTTTGTACCCTGCGCTGATGAATTTCTTGGTTACGAAGATATGGGATCCACGTGAACAAAACCATGTGTTAAAATGGTTCATGAAACATCCCCATTTTAGACTTTAGACCATTAAGCTAAACATCCCCAGTTCGTTTAAAAATCATATCTTCCAACCAACCCCGTTGTTTTAAAGGGACCAAGTTTTTCGCCATGATCATGTTCGATTGGGATTGGATTCACTTCGAAAAATCTTCCCTGAATGGATTCCCTCATATGGCTATTTTCCTCAAAAGCCACCTGGACGGTACCCCAAGTCATAGCTATCATAGCTATTATAGCTGGATGCTTCTTCCCCCAGTCGGTGATTTCATAGGTTTTGACCTACCCTACAATGTGGGGCCCCCTAGATAGCTAAGTTGGTTTATAACTCCAATAACTACGGTTTATTGTACTTATAACTATAGTTAATGGGGTTTATAAACCAACTTATAACTGGGGGGCCCCACATTGCAGGTACCCTGAAATGGATGGTTTATGGGTGTTTCAAAAAAAAAACATAGGTAACAAACGACCCATCGGTGGATGTCCCACATCACCAACTCCAAGGCACGATGGCTGCAATGTACATGGGGTCTGAGACTTGCAACGCCTTCACCGACGTTCCTGGCCGATCAAAGGATGTATATAGGGCCTGCGGGGCCCCCAAAAACGATAGCTAAGTTGGTGCAAATAACTCCAATAACTATGGTTTATGATACTTATAACTATAGTTAATGGGATTTATAAACCAACTTATAACTGAGGGGATGCTGAGGGGTAGTTGAACCACCCCCTGAAAAATGGTGGAAATTCCATAAATAGCTGGATGGATTATTTCATGGAAAATCCCAATCTAAAAAGGATGATAACTAGGGGTACCCCCAATTTTAGCAAACCGCCAAATATGAAAATATGGAAATCACTTGGGGATATCCTAGGGAGTTAAAACATCTCTGAAAGCACCAGGTGAATCAGACAGCCAGGTAGCATCAAAAAGGAGTTTTCCTAGCAGATGGATCATGGACAGTCATCTCTGCAGGGACAGGGTATGTAGCCTCTGGTAGTCGAACATTCTATGGAAAAGTAGCCATGCCCATATGCTCCATGTATGGAATATTTACCAACATTTGCCCTAAAAATCACCCAAATGTAGGTAAATATACCATACATGGAGCATATGGGATGTTTCATAAGGAAATCAATTGAAATCAGCTACAAGTGGATCATTCTCAATGGCTATGTTAAATGACCAGGCACACAATGGGAATCAATGGGATGTGTTCCAATAATATGGGGAGAATGAAAACCAAACAATGAACAATAAAACCCTCTTGTAGTTTAGTCTGGCTGGAAAATCCTCTGAGAGAACATAGAAAAACATGTCGACGCAATTCTCATCCGGGCCCAGCAAGGCCGGAAACCATGGCATTTCAAGGCCAATAAGTTGGGATGCAACTACCCATATAAGTATGGTTATATATTGTCCACTTAAGCTCACTGGAACCGCAGTGGTTTTTCATCCCTTCACAATCTGCGTCCCTTGAAATGGGCCCTCTTGTACAGCAGTTCCTCTTGGTACTTCGAGGCTCTGCTATGGAAAATCACTATCTTAAGAGGTAAATCATCTACAAATTACGCTAGTTTACGGGGGGCTATATGTGTCACTTCTTATCCAGATTGCATCTGCTATCATGTGGCAATGTAACATGTAACAATGTAAAGTGAACAGTAGTCACATTAGTTGTGTACAATAGTACGTACAGTTAACCACAGATAACCATAGATAACCATAGATAACCATAGATAACCATAGATAACCATAGATAACCATAGATAACCTTAGATAACCATAGATAACCATAGATAACCATAGATAACCATAGATAACCATAGATAACCACAGATAACCATAGATAACCATAGATAACCATAGATAATCATAGATAACCATAGATAACCATAGATAACCATAGATAACCACAGATAACCATAGATAACCATAGATAACCATAGATAATCATAGATAACCATAGATAACCATAGATAACCATAGATAACCTTAGATAACCATAGATAACCATAGATAACCATAGATAACCATAGATAACCATAGATAACCACAGATAACCATAGATAACCATAGATAACCATAGATAATCATAGATAACCATAGATAACCATAGATAACCATAGATAACCACAGATAACCATAGATAACCATAGATAACCATAGATAATCATAGATAACCATAGATAACCATAGATAACCATAGATAACCATAGATAATCATAGATAACCATAGATAACCATAGATAACCATAGATAACCATAGAGAAATACACCAACTTCGCGAACATTCATCCCAACCTCCCGTCCCATTCCATCGTCAGGGTATCAAACTTCCAGGCTTTTATGGCATAAATTATCTAGGTTATATAACTATGAAACAATTTTCTAAATAACTATGGGTTTCAACATTAGTTATGGTTTCCGAAAAAATATTGCTACCCCCAAACCATTGCTTTTCCCATCGATCATAACCAAGAACTTGGATTTGGGGGATCCATCATTTTAGGACAGCCCCATTTGAAACAACCGAGCGGCAGTTCGCCATGCTTACAATCACATGGCTAAGCTGAGAATGCCCCTCTGAAAAAAAAAAAAGTTTTTCGTCGTCCTTTTATTGCCGAATGTCATCTCCCAGATTCCTCTGTTGAATCCGTTGAAGTGACGCAAAAAGAAAAACATAGACCAACCATTCACGGTTTTGAACCCACCTTTCTTATAAAGGAACTAATTAATCACATCCCCTACCCCCTAATATTAAACACCCCCAGAAACCATGGTTTACTAAGAGGATTTACACATATTTGGTACCAAAAAATATGGGGTTGTTTAATATTAGCGGGATTTTTAGTCTAGTTCCCTTCAAAAAAAAATGCCAAACCTACAATGTGGGGCCCCCCAGTTATAAGTTGGTTTATAAACCCCAGTAACTATAGTTATAACTACCATAAACCATAGTTATTGGAGTTTTAAACCAACTTAGATATCTTGGGGGCCCCATCCTGTAGGGTTACTTGCTACTCACCAACCTTTCACGGCGTTCCATGGGCGTTCCCCCACCAATGCCGCTGAGCCACGGTAGTCGTACTGTTTCTGCCACATGTTCACCGGCTGTTCGTCGTGCGTCCAGACCCCTGTCAACCTGAGAAAATGGCCGACCGGCAAAAAGGGTCCCAAAGTGGAAGAAGAAATGCTGGAAAATAGCACCAAGAAATGGAAAATGCTGGATAAATGGACTACAAACAAGCCAAAGATAGCAAAAACATTGCAAAAACCAACTAACATAGCTAACATAGTGATGAATTGAATAAATTGAACCTTTATCTATTTTTTGGGGGGGTTACCATAACCTGAAGGAAGGCCACCCGTTTTCGCACTCGTCCCCGTCCCCCGCGATGCACCTGAAGTAAGGCCATTTGGACATGGTTCACTTACTAACCAGCAGGTCGTTATAATCTATCCAGAAAATCACATGTGCCATGGTCAAAAGATGGGATGAATGGGTCATCCATCCCAAAATCAAAATCCAAACATCAATGGGCTACACACACACAGATATACATATATATATATATAGCGTAGAGGGTCCGCATACCCAATCAAATGTTGTTGCAACTTTACATTCAATTGGGAAGATCAACAAAGGTATTAGGGAATATTAAAATCCCATCACCTTTAAGCTTTACATTCATTGAAGATCTTCAATCCGGGTTTAATTCTCCCACCCCCGTTGAACTTCTACATTCATTGAAGATCTTCAATAAGGGTTTGATGATGATGATGATGATGGTGATGATGGTGATGATGGTGATGATGATGATGATGATGATGATGATGATGGTGATGATGGTGATGATGGTGATGATGATGATGATGATGATGATGGTGATGATGATGATGATGGTGATGATGGTGATGATGGTGATGATGATGATGATGATGACGACGACACAAAGCTCTAAGAAAAAACTGCAGAAAGCCGAGATCGGGGAACATCCAACCGATCATGCCTCCATTCCGAAGGATCCCTAGGGATCATCCTAGACACTGCTTCCTTGAGGGGCGTGGAAATCTATGGAAGATCAAATCCAAGATCAACTTCTACGAATCAAGGGCTTTCTTGATGTTTTAGGGCTTTCTAAGGGCTTAATGAAGGCTTATGAACCATCAAAAACCAGTCAGGAGTGACAAGGGCTCATTTTATGACCCCGGCTTCAACAGAGAAAGTTTATTTTAGCAAAAAAAACGCAATCAAAAACAGAATCACCGAAAAAAAAAACAACCCGACAGGAAGAATCACCAGAAAAAACAAGAAGAAAAAACAAAGCCAAAAAAAAACTGGATCGTCCTCAGTTTTTTTTTGTTTGTTGTTTTCTTGTTTTTTGTGTTTTCTTGTTTTTGGTTTTCTGGTTTGTTTTTTTGTTTGCTCTGTTTTTTTAATGAAACCCCATATTCTCTATGCTGTTGGACTCATACGGCTTATTGATCGTTGGAGCTGTTGGCCCTCCCCGGGTTTCATCAAACCGATGGTCTCAAGGGCGCACAAACGATGCCTAGGGCTAGGCTGCAACCTGCTGCAACGCAAGCCGCAAAAGGCTCAATGAAGTATGCAGTCCTACAAGAATGATAGGCTTGCAAGTGTTGACTGCCGGTCCAGTAGGGTTTCTAAACCCATCTCCATGCGTCAAGTAGAGTCTGATTTTCCTTGGGTCTGCAGTTAGATATCAGCAAGCACCCCAACCACATTGCAAACAGTCCCCAGTTTCGTTGGGTGACTTTGGCCGAAATGCTTACAGGAAACCCCGCCGCAAAGCCATCCAAATGCTGGAGTAATTCTCTGGAGTTGACTAGAAGCCACCCAAACTTTGGTAACACATCCAAAGGGACAATTTCTGAGTCAACATCATCATTTTCGAAAATCGATGAATATCGAATATCGATGAAAACCGCATAAATCGTCACATGACGCATGTTTTTTAGCATCCAAAAATCCAAACTTCGCCCCTGCCGTTAAACGTGGCAGACTTGAGCTGCCCCACGGATTAAAGAGCACCGGGCTAAATGGCTCAGTCTTACCTCGGACGGCGGCAAAGTTGATTTGCCTAGGTTTCCACTGATGTTCACTAATATGGCAGTGTGTCAAAACCTTGTACCACTGGTGAACATCAAAATAGCTGGTAAATGGATGTTCATCCCACTAAAAATGGTATTAATAGGTATTGATTCATAGCCATATGTTAACTATGGTTTATGGTTTATGGTTTATGGTAGATATTTATCGAACTGGTGGGAGTGAAAAAAAAAACAAACAGAACTGGGAATATTCGGATATTCCATTGATACCTTGGGATTCCTAGCTCCGGCAACCCATTAAAAAAAAAACCATCGATTCCAACAGTTCCAACCTCTCCCAAGCATGATGACTGAGGTTGCTGGAAAGTCGACAAAATGTGCTGAAATTTTGAAATGGAGAACGGCCATATATACCAGACGTAAGTAGCAACAATTCAACATTTACAACAAACAAATTTTGGTCCCTTCATCCAAGATTTCCCATGATGAAATTCTGACCAATAATAGCAATATGATGATGCAATATGTTTTTTCCAATATTTACCATAGAGGTTTTTTTGATATGTTTTGATATCTGAAGCTGCGTGCCGACTGAGATATCCTGAGCTCAAAGCTCATGACTGAAAAACATTTTTCGAGGTGAGAACAAATCTCCGGCACCGGTCCGCAGAAAACGATTGTGAAAAAAACCATGCAAAAAAATGGAAGAATGAGTTGAAAGAGAACCCTCCAGAATTGGCTGAGTTCCAGTAGATGGTTTTTTCTATCCCGTTTCAGCGTTTCCCCACCTCCAAGGTGGCCCTTATGCATCAACCCACAAGGGCAAGCCAATCAGTAGATGTCAGTTTGAAACTCCTTTTTTTTCCGGGGAAAGAAGCGACTGACGGATGGGATCTATCTTCCACTTCTTCGGTACCTTTGGGGGTTGCTAATCCCATCAAAATCCTATGAAAGCCTTTGAAAATGCGATAAGAATCCCATAGGATCCAAAAAAAAGTAGGAGAATCCCAATTAGAAGCCAATAAAACACCATAAAACACCTATCTCATTTGGGTTCTTTGGGCACCTATCATCGTGATTTTTGCACCCATCAACATGGTGATGTTGGGGATGGTGCTTTGTTGACCCATGTTGGGCACGAAAAGCCCAGCAGCTAAACCAGGTGAGGCATCCCTTCCACTTGCAGGGCGACGTCGCCACTGGGGGATTGTCCTCCCGCGGCTCGAGCGGGTCGAACAAATCAGAAGCTGTTCCGATTTATCCGGCCTGGTAAACGTTTAAAAAAAAAGTATAACCATAGATTTGTATGATATTAACCATTAGTATAGTATGAGTATTGGAATAGTATAAACCATATTAATCCATATGAAAACCATAGTACAGGATGGGCCCCCCCAGTGATGTTTGTTGGTTTATAATGGTTTATAAACCATGAAATAATCCCCATGAATACTATAGTTAGATCTACCATAAACCATTGAATTCAGCCACTTATAAACCAACTGAACGCTATCTTGGGGACCCCATCCTGGGAAAATCACCATTTTATAGCTGGGTAAATCAACTATTCTATGGCCAAGTTCAAAAGTTATGTTAGTTTACCAGGCCGGGTATGGGACGCCAAAATGATACATTGATCCACCATTGAGTCCAAAAACATCGGTAATTGCCCTCCAAAAGAAGCTTCAAACTGGTTCCAGACATCCATCTGTGTAATCTGGGAAAGCCTCAATCATCAAAGATACCAGCAGGGTAAACAAACGTGGCAATGAGAGATCCCCTTTGAATGGGTCATTAACATGCATTAACATGCATGAACATGGTAAAATCATCTGTGAATGGGCCATGTTCCATTGTCATGTTTGATTACTAAAGGGCAATCTCATTCGGAGGCTTCCTAACATGGGTGCCCCAAATCATTGAAAATATACCACCATTTTAGTAATCCCTTCTCCCTATCAAATAATAAAAACTAGGGTCCATCTCTAATTTTGGAAAATTTCAGGTTGGCCAATTTGACTTTTAATTGATGCCCTTTAGAAAACAATTTAAAAATAAAGCTACCATTTGTGGGTTTCGCCGGCCCCCTAATAATAAAAACTAGTTAACCGCGGGGTGTTTATTATTAGGGTCAGTGAAATTTTATTTTTTTTTTATGAGAGTTTCAATTTATTAATAGGGTCCGCACCAAAATCCAATTTTTGGCAATATTTTAATTGCGTTATATAAGGAAATGTAATTGAAATTGATTTTGAAATCGAAACAAATAGTTTTCTTATTAAGGGTTTCAATTTATTAATAGGGTCCGCTTCGAAATCCAATTTTTGGCAATATTTTAATTGTGTTATATAAGGAAATTTAATTGATTCTGAAATCGAAACAAATAGTTTTGTTTATTACAGTAAGGGTTTCAATTTATTATTAAGGTTCCCTAATAATAAATACCCCCCTAATAATAAAAACTACCTGAGATGCTTATTATTTGGGGGGGACGTTTAGTATTAGGAAAGGATTCTAGGTTAACCCATGGTGACGACTGGGGATCCCCCATGTTAAGAAACCCCCCATTTGGAGGTTTAGCAACCTTCAAGCTGGATGTTTATCATGACCAAGGCCACAAATCTGACCTAGCCTTCAACTATCCTCGTTTTTTTGGCTGTTCGTGACGCTTGCTGGGGATCCAACAAGAGCTGGGGATGACTAGAAATTAGAATCGAAAGAGTACTTAAATCAATCATAGAAAAAAACATCTGGGTAGATTTTCCCATACATCACCAACCTGAAGTACTGTTTCGGATTTCAGGCACAGCCTTAAACGTGTGAACGGCACCCGGGCGGCCCGGGCGCACCGCAAACATGGGAGGATTGGTGGCGTTTATTTCGAAGATGTAAAGACCGGGATCAAAACCTGGGGCGCACAGGGCGGGGAAAGCACAGTTTTCGTGGCGCCCCCAATTGGATTGCTAAGTTGGATGGCAAATAATCTCCAATAATCTCCAATAACATCCAATAAACTCCAATAACCTCCAATAACCTCCAATAACATCCAATAACTATATGGTTTTTTCTTGGGAATATATCTATACTTCATAGATCTTCATAGGGTTTATAAACCGCTATCATTGGTGAGCTCTTAAGTTGCTGAAGTTTTGAAGCGGATGATTTTTTCCGGTGGAGGGTCCTCAATAAATTGCTTCCGATTGTCATCGTCCGAGTCCTTGATCTTGACCACGAGCTTTGCTTTCAGAGTCGCAGGCGATCCCAAAAGCACCACAGCTGGCCTTGTCCGGCGGAGGAATCCTGCTGCAAACTCATCTGTGGCCACTCCTCCGGTGGCGTCTGTCGCGGCTCCGGCGATGTCTGCGGGATTTCCCATGGAGATCACGAATCGCCTGATCATGAGTTGTGGATTGAAGAGGAAACCACTAGCCATTGCAACTGTGGGGCAGGGCGCCCCCACTTTATTTGTCCAAAAACTCCATTTCCTCATGATTTCATTGTCATTTTGAGGTCCCACTTCCGGACAAACCCTGGTCTTGTTGCTTAGATGATGTTATATCCCATTGCTATCCATCAACTATATCCCACATTATATCCGCATATATTATATCCGCATTGTTGATGCGTTACAGTGGTCCCCGAAAACATAGAAGAGTTTCTCCAGGACGTAGATGATGTGTCCCCCACAAATTCTAGGTGTCCAATGTTTCCTATCTATTTGGGGTGGCTACACATATGAATTACTAGTCTAACCAGCCATTCGTGTTGTACCTGCGGATCAGGTTAGAGGTTGCCTTTTTTTGTCCGAACATTTAGAAAAAACAAAAACGGTGTGTTTAGCATCATTTTCCCTATAAACATTGCCTCTCAAGGTATAAAAGCGGGTGTAAATCCCTGATTTTCAGAGACACCCAGAATCATTTTGATATATTTTGATTGTGTATCTCACTCTCCCAGTGAATATCAAATAAAAAACATATTATATAAATGGGGTACAGCGTATTCTCAGACACACCTACTCCCTGGTACTTCAACATAGCTCTGGAAAATCATCCTTTGTTTTTTCCGGTCATCATTGAACTAAATGGGCCATGGCTTTCCAGGTCGCAAACTGAGACCTGAATTAACCTGTTGGGATCCCGAGGGTAAATCCCAAAGCCATGGTTCTTGACCAAGTTTCTTGGCTGATTTACCCATTCAAAATGGCGATTTGCTGCAGTTTTCTCTGCCAGGAATTCCCGCAGTTTTTCGAGCTGAAAATCTCCAGGGGCCCCTGCCAGATTTGTTGGCTCGAAACTCCAAGCGCAACTCGCCCAAGGGAGGCGTCAGCCAATCGCCCAGCTGAACGAGAGATGAGTCAGGATGAGTCAGGGATATGATTCGTCCATGGAAATTCCTATAGTTACTGTATAGATACAATGTAATGTGAGGCCTCCCAGTTATAAGTTGGTTTATAAGCCCCAGTAACTATAGTTATAAGTACCATAAACCATAGTTATTGGAGTTATAAACCAACTTAGCTATCTTGGGGGCCTCACATCGTACCTATGCTGGCCTATCCTATACATTGATGACCATCTCCTAAGAACTTGCCAAGAACGCCAAGGGTCTGTGAAACCCAAGTTTTAACCATGGCAATGGGTCTGGGTCAAAAAAAAGGCGAATTTCGCCAAGTTGTGGCCACAATTGGCCACATGGGAAGTGTTTGAAAAAATGGATTTGACTTGCCATGGCAGTACGGTACAAATATGGAGATTCAACCAACAATGGAATGTAATGGTGGTATAAAAGGAGTATAGGAGGAAGATTGACCAACAACACTCAGCACATATTGGGAAAGTATGCAAATGAGGTTATATCTCAGGATATCTGGGATGCATATATCGGATACATGTTGGCCATTACTTTTGTTTCTTGGGGACAATATTGAGATGAGCATTTAAATGTGTTGCTCCAAAAATCAAAAATTGAAATTAAACATCATCAAAAATGGTGCCATTTAAGCTTAACAATCAATAGGTTTTAATTTGGGATACGATATGGGTTGTGATACGGCAATATACTGGGCGAATCTGGTTGATATTTAAAATTACCCTCTGGTTATGACTAACATAGCCATGGTATAGATGGTCCATTTATAGATGATTTTCCCATTAAAACCTCCATTTATAAGGGATGTTCCATGGCTATGTTAGTCATAACCAGATGGTATATATAGTCGGGGGAGAAAAAAAACAATAAATCCGGACTTACCGAACATGGATTTGTTTTCCATGCCTCGAACAGCAGCTCCACCCTGGATCATACATCAATGATGAATACTTCAAGTTCAAAAAGCTTGGTCACTCAACCAGCCACTTGGATTTTCTCCGATTTTCTCGACTTTTCAGCCAGGCACCCAATCGCACGCCGCTAATCGCACCGTCCCCTCAGAATTAACGCACTGTGGCTTCAACTTTCCATAGCTCGGTCTGGATCCGATGTAGTTGTTGACTTCGGGGCCCCAGATAAAATGGACTTAGCTTCACCAGGATGCAGCAGTTTCTTGTAGGTGAAAATAACATGAAATACCCGGCCTGGTAAACGTTTACATCACGCAAAGATCCACCATGCTATCAATGGGTAATACGGTAAATCCACTATTTCGACTGGGCCATGGCTTCAAGTTCGCAAACTGTTAGTTATTACCAGGCCGGGTAAATCATGGTTTCAATATTAAAAACCCTGGTAATTTGATGGGTACCCTCTGGTAAACTAACATAGCTATTGAAAATTGCCATTTATAGTGGATTTACCCATTAAAAATGGTGATTTTCCATAGTTACGTTAGTTTACCAGAGGGTATACTATGTTTGTTGGTTTCCAAATAGATCAGCAAAAAAGTGAGGCCTCCATTCCAGTTTCCAGTCTCCTCTGTAGACTTAGCATGTTGATCCATTTTCGAGGTGAACATAGCATCAAGTGAATGATTAAATATCAAACATATCCAAACATCATCAAACATCTACATCCACATATCTCTGACATCCATGATTTGTTCGAAGGACCATTAGATACAAAATGATACAAACATACCAGTCATCGGATGATTTGATACCGATCTCCGAAACATCAACAGATTTTTGGATCTCTTTTCTAAAGTCTCAAAATGGGGAACCCCAAGTCACCATAGTTTTCAATAAAAACGGATTCAAATGATTGGGTACCCCCCCAGTGTAAGACATCTCCAAGGGAGACATCTTTAGTACGTCACCATGTCCAACATCCCCATCTCTGGGCCTTCTCAAGAGCGGAGATGAAGGAGATGTACCTCCGACTTCTGCGTTGAAGTTGTCAGCTACAATTTCGATGCGATTTTATTTTGCCCCATGATACAAAATCATGATGACAAACAAAAAGGATGAAAAATTGGTCTTTAAGTTACCAAGAAAAATCTGATCCAAGGATATACAAGGTTAAAAAAAAATGCTAAGAAAAGTAACTGCCAAGGCATGCAAAGCCGCATAAAACATATCAGTATGACGAGGATGTTTATCTACATACGATTACACCATTGAAGTTTTATACACAACATGGAAAATCAGAGGCATGGGCACCTAGCAATCTGGCCAATCTGGGGATATCTGAGGCAGCTCCACACAGCGCAAGCCATTGAAAAAAGCCTCCTGAAAACAAAAAGATGTGGAGCTTACCCACCATTTAAGTAGATCATTTCCCTAGTGATACCATATGGGTTTTCCACATCTGTATGAAAAAACCGGGTAAATCATGGTTTCCCGATGTTTCACTTATCTACCCTCTGGTAAACGTTTACATAACCATGGAAAGATCCACCATCACCATGCTTTTAAGTTCGGTAAACCATCTATTTCTATGGGCCATCTATACCATGGCTATGTGAGTCATAACCAGAGGGTAATATAATCTAATATCCTGAAATCCCATGTACCCTCTGGTAATTTGACATAGCTAATGACCCATTTAGTATCATACATAGTTGCTTGATTTGCCCATAATTTCCATAGAACAACTCCGGTTTTTCTATGGAATATAGTTCCCATTAACCAATAGATATGGATATATCTACCCTGGTTGGTGGTTAACCATACCCAGACACTTATCATAACCAGACACTTATCTAAACAGATCGTCTTCAAATGACAAGTGCCAGGGCCCCCCGTTTTTGGGGGATACCAAATAGTGGACTCCAGCGAACTGCCCCTGGGACTCCCCAGTTTGGTTGAGTCAATTGGGGCTGTGTTTTAGATATAAATATTATATATCTATAAAGTGTACATGTGTATATATATTTTTTTTTATTTATATATATATATATATTTATATATATATATATCAATTATGTAGCACAATGGAACCTATATATATATATATACTCTGACCACAAAAGTTGATCCTGATTTCAATCATCTCCCGTTTTAATCGCCACTCGCAACAAAATATCCACCCCCAACTAACATAGTCCCTGATTGTCGCTCATGTTTAGAAGAATTCCAAGAGACTCGCCAAGGTTTTTTCTAGAATTCCAAGAAGATTCTTCAGTAGATGTCCAAACAAAACAACGCCTATATAAACTGCCCGCATTTTTTTTCAAACCACACCCCTTCACCCGATGCGGCGGAAACCGCACCGGAGTGTCAAGGAGGGCGGAGCCGGCATCGAACCCAGCTCCTGCGTTTTTTCAAAACGAGTTTTCTGCGGCAAGACATTGGACATTGACCCAGAAAAAACATGAAAGAACCATGGATTTGCCAGTAAACTAAGTGAACAATGTGGATTTGACCAGCCAAAATCAGAACTTGTTTCACCAGAAATTCGCTTCGGCGGATTTGATTCAGGTGTTCAACCTAGCGCGGCATAGCGCGGCGCCAGGTGACTCAGCCCCGGACCGTCGCGCAGCGCACATGACTGTAGCGCACATCTTCGATCCACTCCTTGGGTCGAATCTGGGGGGATTCACTGAAAATCTTCACAGAAAACATGGAGAAAACCATGGCTTTGCACAGTGCTAAGCAAACCCGGCCTGGTCCAGTGGGGATTTTGCCAGCTATAAAATGGTGTTGATTTTCCAGCTAGCGCTATGTTAAATTACCAGAGTGCCAGAGGGTATACTGAATTATACCATGGACAATATGGGATAATAGGGGATTATCATTGATAAATTGCTATTAAACCATTATTAATATCATGGGCTAATAGGGGATTATCATGGATTATCTGATATATAGGGGATTATCATGTGCTTTCTCAATGTGCTAATTATACCGAATTATACCATATTATACCCAAAAAAAACATGATATGTATAGAAAAAGCTTCGGAAATGATGAATGTCATCAAATTTCAGAGGAAATTGTGGAAAAAGAATAGTTCATGATGATCTGTTGAAATGAAATCTTGGTATATCAGTTTTTTTTCAGACAAACCCAGGCGCCGAATCGAGATTTGACCATGACGAAAAAAGCCCCTGGAGGATCTCAAACCATACCGAAATGGCGATATTATCATTGCTGTCATTGCAAAAAATGTTGAACCAGTTGGCGAATAATCCAAGAATGATGATCATGGCAATGAAATGTGGCTATAGCAAAATGTGGAAATTCAACGAAATTCAGATGATTAAAACAAAGATCATTCTTTAGATGACTCATCGAACATTGAGGAGTTGAAGCACCACCAAATTTCATAATTTTTCGTCAGCCCGATGGACCAGCGTGGTGAGGCTTCCCTGCTTAACATAGCGATGGAAAATCACCATGTTGAATAGATATATAAATCATCTATAAAAATGTAATTTTCAACATGTTCCATTGCTATGCTAGTTTACCAGAGGCTAATTACAAAGCCCCTTGGCCCTTGAAAATGTCAGGCATAATCTGGGACCATGAAACTTGATCATGAAATGAAATATGGTTATTACAGGTATACCGCCAGTGAAACGGGGATGATAATCCGGGATTATATATAAACCGCTTACAGATGCCGCGCTTTTTAATGGCGTTTTTTGTTGGAACAATGGGAAAATCCTCACTGAATACCTCTTTCAGCACCAAGATTTTTGCGGCATTGGACAATGACCCTGCAAGTTATGGACCTATGAAATGGAAAGCACAAGCGAGCCCTGGTTCAAATATCCTTTATCCTGTGGTTATGACTAACATAGCCATGGAAAATGGCCCATTTATAGATGGTTTACCGAACTTAAAAATGGTGATTTTCCATGGCTATGTTAAATAACCAGATGGTAGTACCTTCAGAAAGATTGGGCTGGTTGTAACTAAAGCCATTTTCAGTACCATTGGTATTAAAGGATGACAAAAACTTCAAATACCTCTAGTTTTTATATCCTTGGCGCGTATTTATACCATTTAAAATATCTACTGTGGCCAAAAAACTGCTGTAACGAGTGTGTGACCCTTCGGACTTGTGTCGCTACTTAGCCCACCATGCTCACCACCTAGGTCTGAGGATCATGCGCCTTTGACCCAATAAACCATCCCAGCCAGACCAGCCATGGGGGTCATTAGGTCATTGTAAAATATCCCATTTCGGTAGCAATGGCCATGCATTTTAGGATCCGATTGAGGATGGAGGTACCGAGGTACCGATGCCATATATGGCCTTGGCCTATTTAATGATGGTTAATAGTGGTTAATAATGGTTAATAGTGGTTAATAGTGGTTAATGATGGTTAATCATTGCTATATAATCAATGGCCAATTTCATAAACCACAGTTGGGGATGGTTCGGTTTACCACATTAGATTGTGAAGGCAAAACTATGGCCACAAAAAATGGTCGTCACTCAAAAAAAAACCGTATGGTCTGCTACCAACAACTATGACTTTTTCGGGCATGGAGACTCTTTTGGGATATATTGAGCTTTGATGTGCTCCAGCTGATGTGCTCCAGCGGCCCCCTAACATAAAATCACTAAGTCACTACCGTAGATGGACGAAATATTCAAACCCCTTCTATCCGGTACAACCCCCTCGCCCCCAAAGTTCAATGTTAATGTAACATGAAGTGCATCGGCTCCAATGGACGAAAAAAGTCAAACCCCTAACAATCACTTTTGGTAACACGCGCGCTGAAACATTGAGATTTGGGGGCGCAGGGGGTTCAACATAGTGCGTGCTGCAGGGTTTGAATATTTTGTCCATCTACTGTAGGTCACTACGTTTCCTCTGAAATCACTAAGTCACTAACATCTCCTAACATCAGTCATTGCTGGGTCCAGCCCGGCTGGGTGCTCAGGGCTGGATAGCTGCTGATCTCCATGTGGTGATAAGGCCATACCACCTCCAGCTCCAGCGCCGGACACGTGAGCCCATCAATGCTGTGATAAATCATGGGATTTTCATGGGATTTTCATGGGATTTTCATGGTTTTTGTCAAGGTTAATCATGGTTAATCATGGTTAGTAATGATCTGGTTGGTGCAATAACCATCTTGAAAAATGATGGAGTTCGTCAATGGGAAGGATGACACCCCATATATGAAATGGAAAATCAAAAATGTTCCAAACCACCAACCAGGTGTGATATATTTTTTGTTACACAGATGGTATAGAACCTCATGAAAAACCAGTGATATGCTTCACCTGAGTTTTTTTCTCCAAACACAATATAACATAATATAACATAACTGTGTATATTCCATGGCGTCCACAGTCAAACTCACCAGTTGACTAGTTCCATTGCCAATCAAAGTATGGGATCGGTGGATTTCCATCGACTGGTCAGGGAAGAGAAAAGAAGAGTTAATCAATGGATTGGTTTAAAGGAAAATTTACTGGTTTAAGCCCCATATTTAATGGGAAAATAACTCTGGTTTCCTGTAAATTTTCCCTTAAACCAATCCATTGAGTTAAACAATAGTTAGAGCGTTTTCCGAAGCGTTTGGATTTGAAAACTCCCGATTTTCCTTCAGATCGGCTTTTCCTTCAGATCCCGAGTTTAGCCCAAAAAAAAATTAAGCTGCCAGCATCAGCACGTTAGCCAACACCAAGCTGCCAGTTGATCGGATTTCATCCCATGGGGCACAGTTGCAAACATAAGATATCAAGCCAAGAATTGGGTATTACAGCCACCAACTGGTTGGTGGTGCAATAACCATCTTGAAAAATGATGGAGTTCGTCAATGGGAAGGATGACACCCCATATATGAAATGGAAAATAAAAAATGTTTGAAACCACCAACCAGCCAACTAGCAGGTCAGTAGGTGTGATGATTTTTGTTCGCTTCAAAATGAAGCCTCTATTCTTCCATGCAAAATCCTGGCTGGTTAAGAACGGAATTCCCAGCCTGGACTATGATAATCCCCAATACCCTCTAGTAAACTAACATAACTATGGAAAATCACCATTTTGAATGGGTAAATCCACTATAAATAAATGGCCATTTTCGATAGCTATGTTAGTTTACCAGAGGGTATATTGAGTAGTATAATCCCCGAACTAACCAACAGAGATAGATCGCAGCCACTGCTCAAAATGTGTTTTCCTGGTCAAAACCATGGTATTCCTGGGTACCGCTCGGGTCTCCATTCCATCATGGGAATCCACATGTCGATATATCGAATCCCATCGTTGGATGGGAATGTTTGAACCGTGTAACTTGACCAAAATTCATGATTCTCAACATTGGAGACCACGTTTCCGTAGTGATTTCCACCTCATATTAACAACTCAAGTACAAAAACAAGTCGAACCGAATAAGTGTGAGAAAATAAAAATTAGAGCCCCATAATGTTAGTAAAGCAATCATCAACCACCCATATTTTCATTGTTTATACCGTTCATACCACCGCCCATCAGCTCGATGCCATCCATTGTTGTTTTGGACATAAGCGATGGATAAGCAGATGACATCTGCATCCCCGTCATCGAGAGGTTGACAATCCATGAATATCCATACCCTCTGGTAAACTAACATAGCAATGGAAAATGACCATTTATAGTGGATTTTCCCATTAAGAATGGTGATTTTCCATTGCTATGTTAGTTTACCAGAGGGTAGTTTATTTCACATGGTGACTGTTTTGCCCACTTATCACTTGCAGTGCCTAGAGATGCACCAAAAGTGTCGAATGCCCAAAAATTGGGTCTGCTTAAAATACTTAAAACGGCCAATAGCTGGGTTATATATCCCACTAAGATATCGCATCATATTGCCATTGTATCCCAGTAGATCCCTCCTATATCCCAATGTTTCTCCACATATTTGGGTACTTCCTACCCACCGGGACGCCAATTTTTCCGAAGCCATGAAAATCGCGGTTTATCCCACGGGCGATCCCCATTTTTTGATGGCCATGTTGATGTGGAAAATGTCATCAGTCTTCAAAAACCCTCCGTCATTTCATCATACTGGTTGGTTCATAAGGATTCCGAAATTCCCCGATAGGATTGAGATATTCCCCATAGAAATCTTGTATAATCACCGAAGTCATCAACAGGATAGCGGCCACTGCTGTCTTTCTAAACCATCCCAATTTGGCCCCGTTGAGAATTTCAGCGCCTCTAGTGCCCCCTCCATCTCAATTCTCGTGATGAGTTCCACCCACATCCTCAAGCGCTGCTGGGATGCTCCGGAATCCGTGGAGCTGCTAGCACCGTTATGGTGAACGTCCCTGAATCCAACAGATTTGAAATGATGTTTCTGTAAAATGTGAAATACAAAGACCCAGGACATGCAGAAATTCAGGATTTGGGGCTTTGCATTGCGAGAGTCGCTGGTATTTCGGAGGATGACATCGATTCCAATGATGGGAGTGACTGCTTAGGAGGTGAGTTTCCAGTCGTAAGGGAATACCATGGAATACCTGATACCTCTGGCTTTTTCATCGCAAGTCTTGATGATATCACTGGTGTTTAGCCATCATTGTGGAGACCAGCACTGGAAATGAGTCACAATGAGCCCGCATAAAAGGAATTTCTAGCATTTCTAGAATTCTAGCCATGTGATTTTTCAATCCCCCATTAGGAATTTCTAGCATTCTAGCCATGTCAATTGATCCTTTCCCCATGATTTATGATTTCTAGCCATGTGATTTTTCAATTGATCCTTTCCCCATGATTAGTATACACCATTATACACCCACATGAAGCCCCATTTGATGTTCAACAGGGCTACTTTTTGTGACCAACTCCACTGCTTTCTGGAAGATCATCCCATGGTCCGATGGTCAATGGATTGGTTTTGTTGGGAAAATCTTAACCGGAAACCATCTGATTTTCCCATGAAGATCATGGGGTAAAATCCGGTTAAAAATGTCCCTTAAACCAATCCATTGAATCAAATGTATGGTTAATGAAATATGGAGTAAATATGGAGTGAAGCAATGTTGAAATGACCGGCCATATGATCCATATTTTGATCCCACCATATAAAAATTGTAAATTCGGAAATGGTGGATCCTATTTTTTACTATCTAACGTTACATCATTTGTGTATGTGTTTTAACCAAGTCCCAAGTCCGTTCCAAAGCCCCTTGCGGCCCATTTCAGGTTGCCCTGCCAGATGGTGGCGTTGCGACCTTTCACCGTATCACTGGACTCCATCTTTGCATTCCGCAAGGCCTCCGGACACGATGCCACCGGACACGATGCCCGTGGGACTTAAGGGCATCGTGGGTATATGCCATATTCTAAACATATAGACTGATATACTTATGTACCACAAAACATATAATATATGAATATATATATATATATATGTGATTATGTGTATATATATATATATTGAATCATATATATATATGATCATACACATATAATCATATATATATGTATATTATCATACATATATATGATTATGTATATATATGGTCATATATATATATATATGATCATATATGTATATATATGGTCATATATATATATGACCATTTATACATATATATATATGTGTGACATTGTATGACTATATATAATGTATATGACCATATACATATGAATATATATATATATGACCATATATATGTGTTATGACCATATATATATATGTGTTATGACCATATATATATATAACCATGTATACATATATATATATATACATTCATGACAATATATGTGACAGCATATATATATATATAACAATATATATATATGACAATATATACATATACGTATATATGACAATATTATATATATATGGGTTCTAATACGGTAATTTACCCACGAAACACAATTATTGTGATAGAGATCCAAGTGCAATACTTTCATGATCATGTTCAGGAAGGCGTTCGTTGAATTGTAGTTATCTTTATATATATACATACATAATTATATACAAATTATAGACTTATAGATATATCTGGCTGGTTTTTGACCCATGGCTACCAATCACTTTCGACATCTGCGGTTCTTGTTCGTGAAATCATCGAACAAAAAAATGAACCAAACTTCGCATCGTCGAAATCTCAAGCAAAAACAGCCATCATGTCTGGTTAAAAAATCTCCTATCTGTGTAATTTCTGACCAATCCCCATTGTTTTGCGGGTCATGTCTTTCGCCTTTGAAACCCTTTTTTTCTTGGTCAACAACGTTGAACTTGATGCTATAACACATTGTCAATCTTTGATACTCCACACAAATTAATATTTTGCTGGTTATTGTTATTTTCCATTTATAGAAAAATAACTAAAGGATTAGTGCCTACCCATCCAAGGTTGGGAACTGATCAAATAATCCCGGAACAAATAGCATGGTCCCTGGTTCGTGGCCCACTTAGACATCACGCAACCTCTGAGGAGACTTTTGGAAGTCGAGAACATCTCCGCATCACCAGAATACTAAGCAAATTAGCTTGTCTCAATGGTTTTCTGTCCAAGTAACTTGGAAGTAGCGAATATATGCCCCGTCGTGTTTTTCAGCCTTTTTTTGCAGGTCCGACGATCCCCATAGATCATCCCACTACCCAAAATCTTCACCAAAATGACCGTCCCAAGGGACTGAATCAATGGGAGATCTTCAGGATCCAATACATGGAGCTACGTCAACGTTTACCATATTTTTGACCATATGAATTCTGGTCTTTGAAAAAATCCCTGAAATTGAGGCCTGAAAAAAAAGGACAAAAAGATATACGACGCTAGGTATCCAAAGATCCTTTTCCCTCGACTGGCCGAAGTTGGATGAAATTGGGGCCTCCCGCCACTTGCATTCAAAACCCTGTCCCGTAGAATTTGTTCATAGTTGAGACCGGGATTCCCCCGGGATACATTTGATAGTATCATCCTCCCAAAAAAAATCATCAACCAATCATTAAAATCAACT